GCTTGAGAAGGACCAGAAGCTTACACTTGAAAAATTCAGGAATGACTCTCCTAAGAGGTGTGAATCTGAAACTCAGCCTGAAGAAATATCCATTGCCTTTGGAGAATCTTCTTATTACATACTGTCATTCTAAGACAATACTTTGTACGAAAACCAGACTGAGGAAGATATTAAATGAGCAGTATAAGAATGGACGTCTTCACACCATGTAGAATGAACTTAGGAGCTTTTTGTCACAGCTTGTCACAGAGCTGTGGCCTTGAGATCTTTATTTATTTGAAATATTTATATACCAGCTGCCTGCAGTTTGTCTTCAGACAGCGTACGGCATACTTGAATACAATGAAATGTGATTTAACAACTTGAAAAACCATTTTCATAAAAGCGGCCATAATTACTTTGACTGAAACCCCATGGGCTCTGAGACGCCAAGACAGGGGGAAAAAAAATACCCTACAAATCTTCCTAGTTGTCATTGCACTTGCTGTCTTAAAGTTGAGAGGTAGGAAAATTGGATTGGAAGGTGAGTTCTCCTTTGGGTAATCTTTGTAGAGATACCAAGTTGGCTGTGGCCAAATCAAGAGGCAACTCTTGCTAGGACTTTGGCCAAGATCTGTCTGACAAAGAGCCTTGCATCAGAAAACTCCACTGCGCTACCAGAATCATTTCTCCAACCTTCTCTCCACAACTCATCTCCAAGACGGTTTCAAGATTCTTGCATTCTTTCTACTTGTTTAATAACCTTTTGTTTTTCCACAAGTTATCAGAAGTCTCAGCAAGCCTGTTCTGCATCTGACCTGTTGCTTGACTGTTCCAAGATACAAGAATCCCTAAATACCTTAATAATAATAATAATAATAGCAATCTACTACTACTGCACTACTACTACTACTACTACTACTACTACTAATGTTTAAAAAAGGAACCCTTGCATTGCTGAAAACTGCCAATAAAATTCTACAACCAACCATTCCTGGTTGTGTTTCTTTGAACTTTACCAGGTAGCTTCTGTCTATTGTGAGGTTCTCCTGGAGAGGTGCGGACGTGTGTTCTCAGCCGTCCTTGCTCACACCCACCTTTGTCCTCTTACGCCTGCTTGATTCTTCTAACTGGGCTTTAATTAACCAGCCCGCACGAACGGTAAGCTGCAGCAGTAGGAAACTTGGACCAGAGATTTTCCCTACTCCGAGCAGTTGCCTTAGACTGCTGGAGGTCAGCAAACTTCTTTGATCAGAGTTGTCAGTCAGTTCCTCCTTTTGCTGTGCAGCTGCAGGCCAAACTTCACTCCTTTCACATTCAAGAAATCATGTTGAAGCTACATTTTCTACATAATAAGCTACATTTTCACCAGCCCTGAAACTTTTGTCCCATTTTCTCCAGCTGAATGACCCATGGATTAAATTATTCTACTTTGAAACACATGCTAAGACCCAGCTCTTCAGAGAAGGCCTAAAGATGGGAACTAGAAGATGAGGATGACCACCAACTGATGGACTCAGTTACAATGGCAATCGGGGCCCTATTGGGAAACCTGAAAGACCAGGTTAAGACCAGAATTTCTAGAGAAAATCTAGGTGGTCACCATCCATCATCCAGCCATTCATCATCCATCATCCGTCATCCATCCATCGTCCATCCATCCATCCATCCATCCATCATCTATCCATCCATCCATCCATCGCTAGCAATGGACTTTGAGGAACAAACTCAAAAGCTGGCTCCACCTGTTTCTTTGCACAACTTAAGCATACCAGAAAAAAAATTAAGAACTATTTTCCCCCAATAACTTCTTTTTCTGCCCCATATTATTGTGTAGCAGCACAAGAGACCTGCAGCATGCAGACAATTCAGCATGTTGGCTGAGGAATTCTGGGAGTTGAAGTCCACAAGTCATAAAAGGGCCAAGTTTGAAGACCCTTGCTCTAGGGTCTAACCCAGGCGTCTTCAAACTTGGTCCTTTTATGACTTGTGGACTTCAACTCCCAGAATTCCTCAGCCAGCACAGTTGAAGTCCACAAGTCATAAAAGGGCCAAGTTTGAAGACCCCTGGCCTAACCAAATTCAGCTGAGGTCCTATGGATGCTGCCACATAGCTTGCTTAAAATCAGAGAGAGAAAAACATCCTTCCTGTTGGAGAAAAGATTATAATTGCTAACTCCTCTGCGAAGCTGTAGAGTAGAACTCTCCAACCTTGGCCACTTTAAGACTTGTGGACTTCAAACATGGCTGGCTGGGGAATTCTGGGAGTTGAAGTCCACAAGTCTTAAAATTGTCAAATTTGGGAAACACTGCTGTAGAGTTGCAGGCAATTACTCCCTGATTGGGGACACCTGCTTTAGAGACAGAATTGGATTTCTTTCTTTCTACCTTTAGGTATCCAGAGGAAAGATCGGATCCTGAGCGGACAGTAGTAAGTTAGATGATTCAAGAAGGTGGACCAAGTGCAGACCATTCATTTTAGGTTCTTTGGGCCCAGCTTAAACCAGAAGTAACTAATTTCCCATGCAAATTTGTCACAAGTAACTTTAGCAATGTTTGCTAAAAAGAAAGGGTCCCCCCCCCCATTAAGCTATGTACATTTTGGAGGGACCTAATGCTGTTACTTACTTCACAGACCAAAGTATAGTGTAAACATAACTTCTATGCTCTGGGAAACCCAAAAAAAGATCATGTGACTCATTTTATTGCAATATTCGCTTTATTGTGGTGGTCTGGAACTACATCTGCAATATTTCCGAGGTATGCCTGTAACCTTTCCAGATACCTTGGGTGGAGAAATGCCTGTGGCAGATATTATTTTCCTTCACTATGGCGAGGGGGGGGGAGCGAGGGAGGGAAAGAGAGAGAGAACTGAAAAGTAATATTCTTGTGGGTCTCACACACAGGGCTGGGAGATTCTTAACATTTGCAGAGGTAGAATTCCTCTTTCTTTCCTTCTTTCCTTCTTTCCTTCCTTCCTTCCTTCCTTCCTTCCTTCCTTCCTTCCTTCCTTCCTTCCTTCCTTCCTTCTTTCTTTCTTTCTTTCCTTCCTTTCTTCCTTCCTTCCTCCCCTTCCCCTCCCCCCTCCCCTCTCCCTTTCCCTTTCCCTTCCCTTTCCCCTTCTCCTTCCTCCCTCCCTCCCTTCTCCCTTCCTTCCTTCCTTCCTTCTTTCCTTCCTTCCTTCCTCCCCTTCCCCTTCCTTCCTCCCTCCCTCCCTTCCCCTTCCCCTTCACCTCCCCCTCTCCCTTTCCCTTTCCCTTCCCTTTCCCCTTCCCCTCCCTTCCTCCCTTCTCCTCCCTCCCTCCCTTCCTTCCTCCCTCCCTCCCTCCCTCCCTCCCTCCCTCCCTTCCTTCCTTCCTTCCATACCTAATCCTCTTTCCTTCTTCTACTTCCCCCTCAACAACCCTGTGAGGCAGGTTGGGCTGAGAGAGATGGGCTGTCCAAGGTCACCCATCCAGCTTTCATGCCAAAGAAAAGACTAGAACTCACCGTCTCCCAGTTTCTCGTTTGGAGCCTCTATCACTAGGCCCCTCTCGGCATACTTTGTTTGTATCTGGGTCTCAGGGCTGTAATAAATGGATTTGAATGAATGATAATAAAACAAAGACCCCAGTTCAGCACAAGCCCGTTGGCAATAAGAACAGAAGCAACTTTTAGGGTAGAAAATAGCGTAGCTAGAGAAGGGGTTTGGACGAGAAGACCTTCAAGGACCCTTCCAACTCTGTTGTTCTATATTCCGAACAACCTAGTCAGCCCAGACAAATCTCCCAACACCTGCATGGACCTGTTTTGGGTTTCCTAGAAGACTTCCAGGACGTTCTTGCCCACAAGGACCGCCAGGTGGCACTCAGAGCATCATGGAAGAAGCTCTTAAATTTTCCCTGCCTTCTGACAGCTTCGCCTCATTTTTCTCCACTCGGCGGCAACCGACTAGCCGGACCCAGAAGTGCTGAGGAAGGAAGGAAGGAAGCTCGCATGATCCTGTAGGACCTGCCCGGATCTTGGCTAGAGGGCAGCCCAGCTTGGTCTCCCATCATCCAGATGTGAGTCTTTGGGACACCGAAGAAGCTTCAGAAAGTGGCAAGGTAAAAAAAAAAAAAAAGGAAGGAAGGGAGAAAGGAGCTGGCTGCTTTCCCAGAGATGGCCCGGTAGGACTGAGGACCTGGAAGGATTTCTCCCTTTTGGTTGGCCTTCCACCAGGTATTTAGCCTAGAGGCATCCCTTCTGAAACCTGGATTTTGGGGAGGGTGGGGGCCTTCGACTTGCGTAGACAGAAATGGGCGGAGGGCGAGACTTTTCCACTGCACTGGCAAGGGTTAAAAGCCTTTTGAAGGCAAGCAGGAGCCGCTGGGAAGACATGTGCTTTGCGATGCAGTGTTTGTGTGGGTGTCCAGCCAACAGAGCGAGGGTCGTGTGATTGTTGTTGCTAATTTCAAAGCCTATGGGCTTCATTCTTTTGTGGGTGCCAAGGTGACCTGTTGCAAAATCCTGAGTGTGTTTCCATGGCATGCAAGGGACAAGTTTCAACATATGGGATTGTGGTCCAATTGCACACCCTGGGTGTCTGTGTGCCAGGACACTCGTGCCAGTTTAGGACACCTGCTGGGCAGTTCTAGGATCCTAAATCAAGACAACTTCTCTTCTCTTCTCTTCCCTCCCCTCCTCTCCCCTCCCCTCCCCTTCCCCTCCTCTCCCCTCCCCTCCCCTCCCCTCCCCTCCCCTCCCCTTCCCCTCCCCTCCTCTCCCCTCCCCTCCCATCCCCTCTCCTCTCCTCTCCTCTCCTTTTCCTTCCCTTCCCTTTCCTTCTCTTCCCATTTCTCTCTTCTCTCTTCTCCCTTCTCTCTCCTCTCTCTGTTTTGTCTTCTGGAGCTCCCAGGTCTGTGCACATTCCTTCTTTCTCCTCCTCCTCCTCCTCCTCCTCCTCCTCCTCCTCCTCTTTCTCCCCTCCTCCTCCTCTCCTCCTCCTCCCCCCCCCTCTTCCTCCTCCTCCTCCTCTTGCAGGGGTTTTTCTCTCCTTCTGCAAAAGTTCCCTTCGCCCCCAGCAGTTAGGAGCTTTGCAGCCAGAGCAAGTCAGAAAAATATGTGTGTCAGGTAGGGAGGGAGCAAAGAAGAGAAATCAGTCTTCTCTTTGGCACGGTTCCACCCTTAGCTCTGGAGAATCTGTCTTAGAGACGGGGATGGTGGGGGACGCCAGTTCCAGACAGCAGACAACCGAAATTTCTTCTGCATTTTAACAACACGGGACAAAACCATTGGGGTTTGCTCTTGCTGGGCTAAAGACATGGGATGAGTTTCCAGCAAGTGTTGGCAATGGATGTTAGGCATCCCAAGGTCTGGAGTCTTCTCCATACAGTCAACTGGAGTTGAAGTTTCATGAAGACTTTTCTATTTTATGGCATTTTCTTCCACTCTGGTCAGAAAAGGTACTCAGGATATGTGGTACAACACCCTTCTGAGGTAGGTTAGATAAGAAAGAGCAACTTAGACTGAGTTCCTGTTGAACTGTGGAGCTCAGATAAGAATCTAGCCTGGTTTTCTGGTGGGTTTCAAAAAGCGTTGAGGGTTGAATCTCGACTGCTATGGTTTAGGGACAACTATGGCATTTTTAGAAAAAGGGGAGAGAGAGAGAGAGAGAGAGAGAGAGAGAGAGAGAGAGAGAGAGAGAGAGAGAGAGAGAGAGAGAGAGAGAGAATCTGCCCTCCGTGCTCTCTTCCAGATGGTGTGTTCTGTTGTGGAAATAGCACAGCCTAAAACTGTGTTTTAGTCACGCAGCAAGAGGAAGAAACCCATTTGCCTACAGGGGTAACCAACAAAAGATGATAATCTGATTGCTGCAAATTGTTGGGGGTTGAAATGGAGGCCGACACAAAAATGCTCTTGTTTCTGGAACTCCATCCAAACAACAGCTGAAAATGGGCATTTTAATCCTTGCTAAGAATCTCTAAACACAACCACACCTATCTTGCAAAATTCATTTGAAATGGTGGCCTGGTTAGTTAGATATGTTTTGAAAGAAAGAAAGAAAGAAAGAAAGAAAGAAAGAAAGAAAGAAAGAAAGAAAGAAAGAAAGAAAGAGAGAGAAATGGAGGGAGGGAGGAAGAAAGAAAGAAAAAGAAAGAAAGAAAGAAGGAAAGGGAGGGAGAAAGAAAAAGAAAGAAAGAGAGAGAGAGAGGGAGGGAGGAAGAGAAAGAAAGAAAGAAAGAAAGAAAGAAAAAGAGAGAGGGAGAAAGAAAGAAAGAAAGGGAGGGAGAAAGAAAAAGAAAGAAAGAGAGAGAGAGAGGGAGGGAGGAAGAGAAAGAAAGAAAGAAAGAAAGAAAGAAAGAAAGAAAAAAAAAGAGAGAGGGAGAAAGAAAGAAAGAAAGAAAGAAAGAAGGAAAGAAAGAAAGAAAAAGTGGTTTCTGCTAAATCCTTTGTTGAGCCCTGAACAGCTTAAAACCATGCATGAACCAGGGACAGGAAGTTCTCGTCTCATAGCAGTTCATTTAGTGACGGTTCAAAGTTACAAAGGCACTGGAAATAATGACTTATGTCCATGTTTCACACTTACGACCATTGCAGCCTCACCGTCACCTGATCAAAATTCAGACGCTTGGCAACCGACTCATATTTACGACGGTCGCAGTGTCCCAATGGGTCATGGGATCCCCTTTTGCGACCTTCTGACAGGCAAAGTCAATGGGGAAGCTGGATTCACTTAACCACTGAGGTAAGAAAGGTCATAAACTGGGGCAAAATTCACTTCTCGCTTAGCCACAGAACGTTTGGGCTCAGTTGTGGCCGTAAGGCGAGGACTACCTGCCTACCTGTCTTTGTGTGTCAGAGAGAATATTGGGGGAAAAAGAAATTTGGTTACTGAGCCGATCAGGAACAATAATAGCGTTAAATGGGTTCTCCTCACGGTTTCTCTCCTTCCCCTCTGCTTTTTTTCTCAACCTCCCTTTTTCATTCTCCTTTACCTGGCCACCTGTACTTTCCATTGTTTTCTTCACCTGCCTGCACTTGAGGTTCACCTCACCTGTGCCACACCTGGAGTCTCGTCTGTCACATGAGGCTGATGATCCAGAGGGTTTTAAGGAGTTTGGAGAAAGCTCACAAGGTCCTGAACTGGACTGTGTGTGTGTGTGTGTGTGTGTGTGTGTGTAGCACTGGTTGTCAAATTGTGAGGAGAACCCATTTAATGCTATTATTGTTTCTGATTGGCTCAATAACTGAATTCCTCCCCCCCCCCGATATTCTCTCTGAGATGCAGCTGAGCCCCAAATTTCTGTGGCTAAGCAAGAAGTGAATTTTGGCCCATTTTCTTGCTGTGACCGTCATAAGGGCGAGGATTGGTCGTGAGTCAACTTTTCTCAGTGCCGTTGGAAGTTCACATGGTTGCTAAACGAACAGCTGGTAAAGTCAGGGATGCCCCTGTGCTCCAAAAATGGAGAGGACCCAGATTATAAACTAATGTTTATAACTATCACTAATGTTTATAATCTCCTTCGGATCACAAGTGTGACTTCTGGGTAACTGTGATAACCACTCCCTGTGTGTGTGGTCCTTTTCCTTTAGCTGCACAACCATTGGAAGGACTGTGGGGATCCTGTGACCTTTTTCCTCTCAGCAGGGGCCTCCCAGATTGAGCAGGTAACCCACACCTGTCCACATCTTGCTTGCTCTGATCACTTCAGGTAGAGCAGGAGACAGAGGACAGCAGAGATGGAGATTGGGACTCTTGTCCTCAATGTTCTCCACAACCCAAATACAGCAGATTCTTACTGTTCCCAAGGAGGCGGGAGACAGCAAAGAGTTGCAGCAAGGATGAAGGAAGGAACGGCCTCATCTCCACCTGGGTTTGAGCTTTCAGAGGTCCATGACAAGTCCTTTGAAATGGGAAGGAAGTCCCTTTGGCTCACCACCTCAGGGCTGGGGCGACTCTAGGGCAGGATGAGCCATTCGCCACATGGCTGGCTCAGGAATTCTGGGAGTTGAAGTCTACATAACAGAATAACAAAATGACAGAGTTGGAAGGGATCTTGGTGGCCTTCTAATCCAACCCCCTGCTCAAGCAGGAGACCCTAGAACATGTCAGACTATCTCTTCTTAAAGGCCTCCAGGGATGGAGACTTATGCAGGCAAGTCCTTCCACTGATTAATTGTTCTATTAGAAAATAGTTCCAGGTTGCTTCTCTCCTTGAATAATTTCCATCCATTGTTTCTTGTCCTGACTTCAGGTGCTTTGGAAAATAAGTCGACCCCCCTCTTCTTTGTGGCAGCCCCTCAGATATTGGAAGGCTGCTATCAAGTCACCCCTAGTCCTTCTTTTCATTAGACTAGACATTCCCAATTCCTGCAACCACTCTTTGTACATTTTCGCCTCCAGGCCCCTAAATTGTCTTTGTTGCTCTTCTCTGCTCTCTTTCTAAAGTCATAATTTATATTTTTTTATATCGTGGTGACCAAAACTGGGTGCAGTATTCCAAGTGTGGTCTTACCAAGGCATTGTAAACACTTCATGTGATCTTGATTCTATCCCTGTGTTAATGCAGCCAAGGACATGCTCGGGAATTCTGGGAGTTGAAGTCCATGGGTCCTAAAGTTGCCATAGTTGGCTTTAACTCAACCTTCTTAGAGCAGTGATTGAGCCATCTTCCTGGCTATGGGTAGATATCCACTTACCCGCTCTCCGCAGAAGAACAACACAAAAGGATGTGTTTGTGTGTGTGAAACACCCTAGCAAATGTCATTGTGAAGCACACCATCCATTCTGCTTCAAAACAGCACACCCAGCCTTTGAACCCACCCAACCATCACGCAAGCCTTTAAAAACCTGGCTCCTATTATATGGGTGATCAGACCTTTAAAAAAAAAAAACACCTCATCAAAACTCTTTGAAAAGAAACACAATTTTGATTGCTGGGTGTAGTTGCGTTCTCTGGTGTGAGTTTGGCTCCGTGTGAGTTAATCAGCTGGGTGAAACCCCCACCTCTTCATGGAGCTACGTTTTGATCCAGAGGGTGGAAGGTTCTGCATGAACAATTGCATGATGCCACTATATGCCTATATTTTATGAGTCTGGAGCTCTGAATTGGCCCGAGTGGAAGGTTAGAGAAAGTTGAGTTCCAACTTTCAGGAAGGAGGAAGCAATTATTGAGAGAGGGAAAGAGAATGGAAGATTGTTATTTGTTTATTAGATGTATATCCTGCCTCTCTTTCATGCAGCCTCGAGGCAGCATTGGTTTTAGTCTGAATTCTCATGGAGATGTCATCTTCTTGCATCTCAGAGATTGCTTTAATCCCTGGCAGGAGCATAACATTTCTTTCTTCAATTCCCCCCCCCCCCCAATCTAGGGATCAATCTTTCAAACTTGCAGACATAATTCTAGATTTGGGGCAGCAGCGTTGGCTGGGGAGGGTAAAAAAATATTCCATCTCTTTCATAGACAGGTCTACTGTCCTGTCTCTCTATCTGCTTCTCTCTCTACCTGCCTGCCTTCCTATCTACCTATCTACTTATCATATCTGTCTGTCTGTCTGTCTGTCTGTCTGTCTGTCTGTCTGTCTGTCTGTCTGTCTGTCTGTCTGTCTATCTATCTATCTATCTATCTATCTATCTATCTATCTATCTATCTATCTATCTATCTATCTTTTTTGAACCCTCGTGGCAGAACATCCAGGCATTGCCACATAGGCCCTCATCTTGAAAGAGGTGCAACTTATTTTTCCCAGAAAGGTACCGGGTGGGCCTTTTTGGCTACACAAAAGAATTTGGGTCGTAAATCATTGGGGGAAAATTAGTCGGTTTCAAAAACAAAACAAACCTGACATTTCTTAGCTGCCTCTACTAGAATTGTCAGTAGCAGCTGGCAAAGTGCACACACTAAGCAGAAAGATAAATACCAAGAAAATTTAGTCTTGGCTTGCCATAGATTTAAGTCAACAAGGCAAAATAAAATAAATTACACAGCACAGACCGATCTGCACTTGAATGAGTTTCGGATATAAATCTCAAGGAAGTGCAGTGGCTTCAGGTTAAAAACTTGAAATAGAGCCATTTTTCCCTCAATATTTGACTCCTCAACATACGACCACAATCAACATTTCCATTGCTAAGCAAAGTGACTGTTAAATGAATCATGTCTGATTTTATCACCTTTTTTAACATGACTCTGGGACGTTGTAACTGTTGTAAACTCACACACCAGTTCCCAAGCACATGAATGTTGATTGCATGACTGTGAGGCTGACTGCAATGGTCATAAGTGTGAGGACTGGTTATAAGTAACATTTTCCAGTGCGGTTGTAATTTCAAATCATTGCTAAACAAATGGTGATCAATTGTGGACTGCTTGTGCCTGCATGTGTACTGTGTGTGCTATTAAAAAAAATCACATCCTGTAATAGATGAACATCTTAATGCAACAATCTTGATAGGTCTTTGGAATTGATAAAAGGGGGAAGTTTTAGACTCCTGCAGGAGGTGGATAGGCTTAACATACAATTGTGGCTTATTCAATGCATTGCAGTTAAATCAGGTTCCAGTTTGATGCATCAGCCTTTCCATATTCTCTTTGCAATTTCAAGCTTATTGGGCTTCCAAGTTACACTTTAGCAGAATGGGCTGAAAAATACCACAGTTCCTTCCTCCCCCAGGTCAGCTTGTCTGCATCTTTGATCCTCGGCCATTGGGACACTGCCCAACGTCCAAGTAAACATTCAGAAGACTTCAGTGAGAAAGGGATCCCAGGCCTATGGAGAACTCCGGATCCAAATTTGGACTCTGTATTCCTGGCATCGTTCTGATGCCGCCCCACCCCCCTCTTGAGTTCAGAGGGGCTTCAAACACTGCTTGGTTGTTTTTAGTCCCTTACAAACCATGTTAGTCTTGGCCAAGTCACAAAATCCAACTTCTGTAGCCGATAATGTCAAATCTGTACAATAAACAGGCTGGAGGCTCTGTGGAGCCGTGTGCAGGGTGGCTTAAGAGATAAGCTCTGGTTTTGCCCGGCATTTTTCAGGTTATCTGATTGGTTGACAGACATGGATCAAGGTTTATCTCAAAGGGATGCTGCTTCAGCAAAATGCCTCCCAGTTAGAACAAATTGCTGGTTGTAAAGCATAAGGCAACCAAGGTGGATAATCTGTAAAAGATTGGGTTGCGTCCTGGCATGAAATGAGACAGATTTTTTTTCCCCCCATTCGTCTGCGTTGTTGCTCTTTGGAATTTTGAAATGCTTTTCTCCAATCTATTGCTAGGATGGGAAGGCTGGTTTTTGCAATTGGGACTGTCTTTTAAAAATGGATTTTCTCCATTGGAAAGGACTGAGTGAAGTTTGGGAATGACCATTGCGGAACCGAGCTGGAATTTTTAACTTTTATTACATGCTTTGGAAAGAGTTGGGTTTTTTGGTGTTTTGGGTTTTTTTGCAGAAAGAAGATGGGTGTGTTACGCTTATTGGTTCCATATAAAATATGTTTGGGAGGAAGATCAGCCCAGATTTATTTTGGAATAAAGAGCAGAGCATAATTTTGGGAAACGTAGCATAGCATTAGCTAAACTTTAGCTAAAAGTAGCTTAAAGTGAGCTAATTATTTGGAAACATGGCATAAAATTAGCTAAATTTGGGAAAATGAGCATAGCATTAGCTGAACTTAGTTTAAAGTTAGCTAATTTGGGAAAATTGGGATAAAAATTAGGTCAATTTGGGAAAATTCTGATAAAAAAGTAGGTAATTTTGGAAAAGTTAGCATACAAACATAGTTTGTTGTTTTGGAAAAATGAGCAAAACTTCACCTTATTAAGAACTGGCCATTGGCCACTAATTGCATAAACCAAATTTCAGTTTAATGGGTCTAGAGTTTATAGTAAAAAAAGTGGGTGATAAATGGGAAATTTGGGTCTCCTAATTTTATGACTCTTTGAAATCTGCATTTAAAGATTGGGGGTGTGTGTGAACATATTTCCAATTTTATTATTATTATTGTATTTTATATCATTTTTTTCTTCTGTTAATTATATATCACAGTCCCCAATGAATATCGAAGTGGTATTTCAACCTTCTTTCATCCTCACAAAAATTCTGAAAAGCTTTGGTTCAAAAATGCCAATGAGTAATGAAACCTAATCTTTGTTTCTCTCTGTCTTTCTTTTTTTTGTTTTGCTTTCCTCAGGATTTTTCTATAATTCCTCCCCCCACCCCCATTTCAACAAATTGGCAACCAACTTTTGGCTCTCCTGCACACCATTTTCGGAGTCAAGAACTATGCTAGACAATTTTAAAGGGTCTTTGAGGTGAGTATTGGCCTCCTTCTCCCACCCACTTGTCCCCCAACTTTCCCAAGATGACTTAATGTGTACAGGTGGTCCTCGACCCACGGCCACAGTTGAGCTCAAAATTTCTTCCTGTTAAGTGAGTTTTGCCCCCATTTTATGGGATATTGATTGCAAAGCATAAATCTTTTTTTTCTTGAGACCTGGTTGTCTTCCTGGGCTTGTTAAAGTAGAACAAAGATAGCCAAGGGGTTTTCAGATCTTTATAAGGAATGTGTGACTCACTAAAAATTCATTTCACTGTCTGGGTTGGTAAGGACAATATTGATGGGCTGGTCGGACTGGTTTTGAATATTATAACTGTTTCAGAGATCTTGTTATACAGGCTGTTGGTGCATTTGGTCCTCACTTATTTAACTGTGAACTTAAATTGGCCAGCACCTTTCAGTGTAAGACAAATTGGCTTATGTTCTTTCTTTGATCCAAATTTTGAGACCAGTTTTCTTCAACCTGGTTGATGTGGTCAGATTTGATTAACACTTGAAAGGGAGATTTCTAGATGGAAGATTAGACTGGGAAGTTAGAACTACATCCGGAAGAAAGCCATGGCAATTCATTTCCATATTATTTCCAGAAAACAATATCGTACATCCATGCCCATGTAGCCGTCAGCCAAAATCAAAGGAGACCTTGACCTCACTGCTTACTCACCCAATTTCTTAAGGACACAGCAAAATCAGATTTACTTTTGGAACCAGGGCGGGAAGGATATGCTCCAAAACTTTAATCTGATTGCAAAACTATGCTGGCTAGAAATGAATGCATTTTTTTAATAGCATTGCTCTTGATTACGTCCAGCTTTTATTCACAAACATTTGGCAGGGACTGACGCCTCCCAGATTGAAAGCCATCCTTGATGTCACTTCTACAAAAATCTTGGCAGTGAAATCCATTCATATTCTGTTCCAAAATATCCTGCCGGTTTTATTTATTTATTTTTTTCCAGTTTCACTTGGCTGTTCAGGCTTCCTGCATTCTAACGTTGCCAGCTTGCAGCAAACCCCCTGTAGAATAGAAAGAATCTATTTTTGCAAAGATGGGGAACAGAAAAAGTAAAAACACATAGGAAGAAGGTACAATTCAGACACGGCAAACGAAGCAAGGAGCCATAAACACAAAGGATGCAAAACATAATTTGACTTGGTGTAAAATAATAATAATGCTTTTTTTTTCCAAACAGCAAATAAGAGAAATAATTGCTAGGTGTGGCAAAGGGAGAGATTTTTAGGAGATAGAATACAAAGTGCCTGTCTCTTTGCTCAAAACAGAAAATCGATAGCAGTTTTGTAAGTTGAGTCTGTTTGACATGCAAAACATAAGCATTGTTTTCCATCTGGGCTTTGCATGTAAACATTTGCATCACACACCCAAGCCAGGACGATTATTATTTTCTTTCAAAAATGGTTAGAGTCAATCAGATTTGTCTATGGACTTTCTCAATCATCCAGGTCATGGTTGTCCCAAAGGTGCTTTCTTTCTCACCCCCCCTCCAAAAGGCAGCTGAACTGTCTTGATTTTTTCCTTGAAAACATTTCGCTTCTCATCCAAGAGGCTTCCTGGATGAGATTTGAAGAAATTTCATGGATGAGAACTGAAATGTTTTCAAAGAAAAAAAAACAAAAAAGTCTAGTTGCCTTTTGGGGGGGGGGGAAAGCATCTTTGGGACAACTATCAATCAGATTGTTGGATATTTGAAGGACTTTTAGCTTTGGAATGAAAATGTTTATTCTGTGGGCTCCTTGGTGCTTTCTGTGCTTAGCTGTTTTCATGACCCAACTAGGTAATACCATCAGTGCTATGGGTGTGCACCCTGTGGCCTTCGGGTGGTGGTGGTGGGCAAACCTCAAGGATGGGCCATTTACACATTTAACCAGAAAGTCGTTGTTGGGTTGTCTCCCTCGTGAAGCAGGAAAGTCAATGACGAACTCTTTTGCCCTGCAGGATTCTGAGTTCCCTCGTTGTGTTTGGATTTCAGCTGGTCATTTCACAGGCTCCCATTGAACACAGAAAGGTAAGGGCTGTGTGTCACGCAAGGAACCGACATGTACTGTATAGGAGAGTTTTGCAGCTTTGTGTGCTTTAAGGTCCTCCTAAGACAGTTTGAGCAGCTAGCAATGAGTCCATTCAGTAGCTCTTAAAATGCTGAAATGTTGGCAAAGTTTGCTATACAGCAGGGGTCTTCAAACTTGGCCACTTTCAGACTTGTGGATTTCAACTCCCAGAATTCCTCAGCCAGCGTGCCCGACTGAGGAATTTTGGGAGTTGAAGTCCACAAGTCTTAAATTGGCCAAGTTTGAAGACCCCTGCTCTATAGCTTCACTTTTGGGTGTGCATTGCTTCAAACCTTGACCTTGACAGATTTTCATCCATTGTCCTGACAAGCAGTCCTTGATGTATGACCACAACCAGAGCTCCCATCACCTAGTGATGTGGTCCTTAACTGAGCCATGTCTGATTTTTATGACCGTTTTACTACAGTCATTAAGAAAATCACTGCAGTCATTAAGCAAGTGACGCTGTTGTGATCTGGATTTAGTGTGTTTAGGATATAGTGCCCAGATTAAGCCAAGCTCAGGCTTCAGATGGTGTGTCAATCGAGCTGGTGGCATCTTTGGGAGAAGCAAAGCCAGCATATTTTTTGATCCTGACTTGAAATTCCATTTCAGTTGGAGCAAGAAGCTCAGCTTTTCAGCAACTGGCTGATCTGGCTGCTTAATCCTTATTTGAATGTAACTGTTTCTCTCTCCCTCATCCTTCAGAATCCACCTTTTGTGGGTGAGCAAAAGGCATTTACATCCTGAAGGCACATCAACACCCATGCTGGCTTTCATCTTGGTTGGAGTGGGGTGGGATGGGGAGGAGAGGAGAGGAAAGGAAGCCACGGCCAGGCACTCATGGCTGGGAAACGTAGCTTTTCCTTCAGAGGTTGCTGAGCCTTGTCAGCTCCATTGTTCTGGAAGAATCGGAGCGCCACGCCGAGGCTTTAGCCTTTGTTTTCACTGTTTGGGGTTTTTTTGCACGGGTTAAACAAGGTCACCAGCACTGGAGCAATTTTGACTTTTGAAATGTGTAGAGTCTTGACTTGCTTCCTGTTGCTCAACCAGGCTGATCTCAGTTCCCCACAGCAGATCACAGTTTAAATCAGGTCATTCTTTGGTGGAAAGTGTTTTCCTTTTGATGACCAACTGAGGTAGTTATTTATCCGGTCTTCTTCATATGCAACCAACCATGATGAGAGAACCTAGTTTTGAAGCTCCTATCTCTGCCATTAAATAACCAACAGCAAATAAAACTAAAGAAAGAAAACATGGTCCTGTCTCAAGCTTTGCTAAAGTTCTACCTCTGCTTTGAGTTCCTTCAGACAGAGAGTTTCCCAGGTTCTTCTCAAAAAGATGAAGCCATTAACTCCACCCCATGTTTTGGAATTGGATCTTCCTGCCTGCTCAAATTGCTTAATATTGGCAATCCTTGCTGGTAATTCTATCTAAGAGTGGCATCATCTATAAAAGAGAAGTGACAGGACAAGTATGTTTTACAATGAGATTTCTTACATTCACAGCAATGAAACAGTTTTAAAATCAGCCAAGCACTCTGGAAGAACACATACCAGGCTGGGTTTTGGCCAGGACTGAACTTGATCCATAGAGATATCAACATGTCTTCAGCCAAAAATGGATTGTGATAAACCAGGTTCTTCTCCTGGTCCCGACCCATATGCTTTCTCTTAAGCATAAACCCACACATGGATATTCTTAAGGTTCAGAGGGGTTCATTTTGGGTGGAAGAAATCTTTGTCCACTTTCTACATCTGGTTTGAGTCCAGCCTTCTCTGTGTGCTCCAAAAGAATGAGTTTGGGAGGTGTTTCAAGGTTACAGAAGCATGCAAATCTGGGTGACATTAGTCCAGAGCTGTTTGTCTGCTCGAAGTCCTTTAAGACCCTTCAGATGTGGTAGGGCTGGTGATTTTTTCCAGACATTGCCCAGTTTCACAATCTCTTCTGTCTCATTTGCCCATATGCCTTGTTGATAGTTGCCATATGGTTTGGACAAAACAACCTGAACAGTTTTAGACTTGATAAAGAGGACACCCTTGTTTGAGATATAAGAAGGACTCATATCTCTCCAAATATTCTCTGGATCATCATCCAAAGACAGACATACAGATAGATGGTTAGCTCTATCTATTGAGTAAAATATATTAGAATCTTTGAGTCTAGCTTGGTCAAGAATAACTTTTAGTTATATAACCACCACTGTTGAGGTCTCATTTTGTATTTGGATTCTTGGAATTATTGTGGCTTCTAATTCCATAAATATTCTCTCTTCAAGGGCTCACACACAGCTTCAACAACTATAGGTCATGTTTTGAGATCTCAATCTTGTTTCTTCAAAGTCTAATGGAAATAGCTTTGGAAAGTAAAATGCTTGTTGATGGCTGTCTTTGAATAGAATATTTGAATAAAAGCCAGAGCTAGAACACACGTTTAGGAAAATGGATGAATGCTTTGAGCAATTATCTCACCATTATTTCCTTCTTAGCATATATATGACATGACGTTGACTCGGTGAAGGCATAATTCAGAAATGTAGAAACAAATAGTTAAGAGAGAGTCTATTGGGTGGCAATTAATATTGCTTTTAACTATTATGTTTTGGGGTGGCTGTTATTTTGTTTTTAATGAGAAATCTCCAGCACTGGCAGATAAATAGCCCAAGCTGAATTAATAGGCGTTGATTCAAAATGTGAAAAATGGATTCTAGTTTTGTAGGTCTGCTTAACATTTAACCTCCCTTTCCTGGTTCCTTTCATCACCCTTTAGTTGTGAATCTCATAATTCAGAGACTGGGAAGTCCAGCAGCAGTCACAGAAAATAGCTGCTGAAGGGTGCAACGTCATACAGATTAGTTATTCTGACTGGCCCCCATCCAAACTGGCCTGTAGGCATCAGCAGGTTGCTGTGTATGTGTGGTCTTTTGCTCTTCTAAGTACCACCGATGATCTTTTAGCACAAGAAGGGCCCAGCTGCCTCTTCCCTATCCCCAAAGGAAGAGTCACTCAGGTCTGTACAAAGCCCTTTGGTGATCACCAAAGTCTACCTTTGGAGCTGATGCTTTTCAGACCGTGCTTCCAGCTTGAAAACCCAAAATATCTGGTACTACCTGCCTAGATGTCCCAAATATGCTTTTCTAAAACTTTCTTGGGGTTTTCCTTGAAAATATTTCACTTCTCATCCAAGAAACTTCTTCCATTCTAAAGAAGCTTCTTGGATGAGAAGTGAAGCATTTTCAAGGGAAAAAACCAAGGAACTCCAGTTGCCTTTTGGAAAAGCATCTTTGGGACAACCAGGACGGGATGATTGAGAATCTCCATAGACATTTACCTGCCTAGATATGTGATGCTTAGAACCTTCTTCTGTGTTGGGAAAAGGGTGTTGGGTGAGGAGAGGAAGGTTATTGGCCATTTGGGTTGGCTAATTCCAAATATTCTGCCGGCTGGGGAATTCTGGGAGGTGAAGTCCACATGTCTCAACATTGCCAGGGCTGGACATCCTGGTTTAAAGAGATGCAGATTGGAATTAAGTACGTGGAGTGATGATGGTCTGAAGCACCTTTTTGCGAACCAGTTAGAAGCGGTACACAGCCTTCATCCATTGTGAATACTTCTGTTTTGTCCTTCCTAGCGTTTCTGGCCAAACTTGCTTTATTTTTGTGCCAAAATTTTAATTGATGGGGAAGGAGAACAAGACAGATTTCGAACGGGACATGTGCTAAAGTCACCCAGACTCTTTGTCCCCCTCATTTGATGTCATGACTAATAAATGTGGAGGCGCATTTCAAAATGAAGAAACATCTGGATTGCATTGACAGAAAAATCTGTGTATGCATGTAACAAATAAAGATGACGCTGAATTAGCTTATGTTGTTAGTAAATTTTTGACAAATCCTACCCTCTTGTCGGGGTCATTTAAACATGCTCAGTAGTTCCCCTTGAGAACAACTTGGGAGGTGTGGTTTGTGGGAATCCATGATGCCAGAGTGAGGGCTCTGTGTGTTTTTGTGTGTTTGTATTGTGTACTGCTGCTGTGGACCTGTTGCTCGTTGCTGGCAAGCAGAGTTCAAGCTTTTCCTTCTGGATTGTAAAGTGATTCATTCTCCTAATTTCTGAATCTCTCCCAGCTTTGAAACTAAAACTCAGAAAATTCCTTTAACTGATGCAGTTGATTAACTGGGTCACAAAGCGACTCCATAAAATTAGCAGCATCTGTGAGACCAGGAAATCCCACCCCCAGATTCTTCTCTACAGAGGTGGTTGGCTAGATCTTCTAGTGTTTCAGCCAATCCAGCCTCCCTGTGGAAGATCAATTCAGTTCAAGCAGAATTGAGCTGGAGGGGACCTTGGAGGTCTTCTAGTGCAAACCCCCCCCTCCGCTCGAGTGGGAGACCCTCTACCATTTCAAACAAATGGCTGCTCAATCTCCTTTTAAAAACTTCCAGTGTTGGAGCATCCACAACTTCTGGAGGCAAGTTGTTTCACTGATTAATTGTTCTCACTGTCAGGAAATTCCTCCTTAGTTCTAGGTTGCTTCTCTCTTGGATAAGTTACCTTCCGTTGCTTCTTGTCCTGCCTTCAGGTGCTTTGGAAAATAGGTTGGGAACCATTGTGGTAGAGAATTCCAAATTTGAATCACACACGGTGTAAAATAAATTATATTATCTTGACCTAGTCTACTTTGAAAATACGACGTTGCCCCACTAATTTATCTCCTCTGGTTTCCCTTGCAGGTACCCCAAAGGATAAAAGATAGGAATGTTGCCCCAGAAGATGAGAGCGGAGGAATCCCTGGGGTCTGGGGCAGCTGGGGACCTTGGTCAGCTTGCTCCAGAAGCTGCAGTGGTGGAGTGATGGTGCAGATGCGGCCATGTCTTCCAGGATACTACTATGAGAGGACTTCTCACAAGCCTGGGCAGTTCTCTGCTTCAGAGAGGGCACTGGCTCATATCCAGCAACCGCCTCAAGAAGACTCTCTGCCTCCTTTCTCTGGTCACGTCATCTCAGCCATCCGTACATCGGTTCCTCTTCACAGGAATGAGGAACCACCACGGGCTGCTCTCTCCTCTGGAGGAGGCCGCAATGACAGCCATTGGAGCCGAGCCACCTCAAGAGGGAGTGAAGTTCCTCAGTCTCGGAGACGTAGCCCCAAATCAGAAAGAAGGTAGGTCTTCCTTCCTTCCTTCCTTCCTTCCTTCCTTCCTTCCTTCCTTCCTTCCTTCCTTCCTTCCTTCCTTCCTTCCTTCCTTTCCTCCTCCTCCTCCTCCTCCTCCTCCTCCTCCTCCTCCTCCTCCTCTTGTCCTTTTTCACATTCCTGAGTTTAATTGTAAGGTCCATCTTATGCAATAAGAGGTCTTTTGGCCCCTTTATTATGAAACTATTCCCCTCCGACATGCTTCTTAGAGACAAATTTGTTTATTTTTGCTTTTAGCTAGTGAATTTGAAGCTTTTTCTTAAATTCTTTAATTGCAGATATGTATTGACAGACAGCATTTTTCTTAATTTGCTTTCTTTCATTCTTACTATGTAAATTAGTTAGACAAGATGGTATTTCTGTGTAAGGTTACAGATAAATACTTCTGGGAAATTACTACATTTCCTCTGGAGTCAAGATGTGTCGTCTTCCAAATTTAGGTTACAGAACGATTGCAAGATGAGCTTCAGAGCAGTCAAGCGTAGACATGTCCCGTTAAGTGTTATAGCTCTGGGGAGACGACTTGACATCAAACAAGCTCAAATGCAGATGTCTGCATGCTAGGAGCATTAAAATAAAACCTCTCCCCCACCCCTGCCAAAGTTAAAACAGAAGCAACAGCTCACATGGAACAAATAATGGTAAATAAGGACTCTTCCTCATTCTTGGAAGGAGAATTTATACTTTCTTTTCTTCTAAACATTTTTCCCATTCCTTCTTCAAAAATCTCCCTGGCAACTTGATAAAAAGGGGTTTCAGTGGGGCCACAGATGGTCAGCTGGGCCCTGTGCAATCGACTGCATTTTGTTGTCTCTTCTACGATCAGGTTCTACATCTCTCCTGTATCTTTGTCTCTTGTCTGTGCCTCTACTTCCTGTATACCTCTCTTCTCTGTCTCTAAAACTATACCTAAGCCTAAGCTTAAACCTAACTCTACCTCTATAGTAAATAAGTATTTTATAACCTGCCACACACACTGTGGCTGCCATTGGTCAACAGACAAATCCCTTCCTGGCTTCATGAGCAAAACCACAACATCCAGTCACAATTTTAGATATTCTGCAAAGACACAGATATGCGCCTTTGGACACAGGATTCCTTGAGTGATCTGTTCTATATACTGTATGCTATTTCCACCCTGATAAGGACTAGCCTCTATTTTGTGCAAGGATGAATAAAACCAGGAACCTCTGGCATGGGATCAGCCTTGCCCGAATATTCCCCCCAAACTGATCTCTGACCGCTGAGTCGTATAAAATCCCTTCCCAGCTTTGGTCCACGTGTCATTAAAGCAGGACATCTCTCTTTTGGGAAGCGGCTCCATTCTCTTTTGCTGTCCCCAATGCTGTGGAGCTTCGCTTGAGGCTGGCTGCCCTTTTGCTTCAGCCCAGTGAGGTCTGGATTTAGCAATTGTGGGATCCCCGTGGAACAGGGAACAGCTGTCGGTTTGGAGGTGGAGAATCTCTCCTTCGGGGAATTTCCTGTGTGCATTTCTTACAGCTGCGCCGTCGACGTAACTTCAAACTAGGCTGCAAAACCCAGGCCTTTCAATCATTGCTCTGGGTTTATTGTTAAAAGGGCCTTCAAAATGACCCTTCAATCCAGCTGACCCTCCTGGGGAGGACGATATTCAGCAGCTTCATTGGAAACAGGCAAAGAGAGAATTGGAAAGGGGGAAAAGATTAGAACATAAATGAAGTGAAATGAAAAGGTTTTTAATGCGATAAGCACAATTTATGTTTGACTTTTTTTTTTTTGCAAGAACTTCCAGGAGATAAAGTAAATAGTTGGTGGATACGACTAGGAAAAAAAAAAGGCAAAATGTTGTTCGCTGAGTGTTTTTTTAGAGAGTGTCTCCAGCTGGAAAACACTGCCAGGATGTTTTCAACTTAATTCTAAGGTTAGGGTTAGGGTTAGGGTTAGAGTTTATTTATTTAGAATATTAACACTGTCACCCATTTTAAAACCTGAATTGGGTGGCTCACAACCGTAATATAAAACAATATTGATCAGTTGGGAAGCTTTGCTGATAGTTTGTTTCTCCTTCTCTTTTTCTCCTCGAAGCTAAGGAAGATATCGAAGAAACTGGAAAGTAAAGATGTATCTGGAGGAGAGCCAGATAGTTTTGGCGAGCTGTGTAAACATTTCCCAAAGTCACAAAATGTTTGTACCAGTCAGTAGGAAGGACTAGAAATGGCTTTGGTGGTGCTAAGCTGTTGAGCTGGTGCCCAAATGTGGGCATCAAGTAAGAGTTGCTGGGCACTGTTTAAGGCTTTTAAAGCACTTTATGGCTAAGGACCAGGTAGTGAAGGATCTTCTTTCTCTAAATTTGCTTGTCCATAGCATGTCCTCTTGACACTTCTTCTAGAAGTTGGAGGAAAGATGGATAACTGTTAATTAAGGTCTTCCTAGATGGACTTTTGTTATTTTGGTGCAGACACACCAACCGAGATTTTTTTGAGGTATTTTATGGAAAATTAACACAAATACTATAATCAAGAGAGGGCGAATGGTTACATCACCAGGAAGGAATGGAATTACAAGGATAAGTTAAAAAAAGAGTTAACCTGGAAAGCTAGCTATGGTCTATTGCAGGGGTTCGCGACCCCCAACCAGTCGTAAGTCGAGGACTACTCAACCGGTCGTAAGTTGAGGACTACTCAACTGGTGCAGCACCGTTTGCAGAATGGAACTTTTGGCGGGCTCAGCAGGGCAGAGACAGCCTGGACAATTCCTATGGGCTTTTGAAAGCCAATAGAATTAGACTCTATTCAAGAGGGAGTAGCACAGCTAAGGAAAAGGGGGAAAAAATGGTGGACTGCGTTGTTTGGCGACCTCTGTGAAATGGTCGTTTGACCCCAAATGGGGTCCCGACCCACAGGTTGAGAACCACTGGTCTATTGGGAAAGGGTCATAATCCCTCGTGGCAGACAATTCAGTAAGACCCAGGACGTTTGGGCAGTTTGCACTGAAGGAGATGTCTCAGGTTGTATCTGATGCATCATTGCTCTGAAACATCTTCCAACATCTAGAGCAGTGGCTATGGCAGGAACTGTAGATGTTTTGCCTCTCAATTAAATCTGAGCCAAGGGCTCCACCAAACATTATATTTTTTTCAGAGGCAACACATCTCCTGCAAGCTGCTTCCACTTCTCCATGAGTAACAGATGACTTTTCGAAGGAAAAATGCACCTCTGGCATTCTTCCAGGGCTAACTTCTGAAAAAGCCAGCTTGATAAATAATACTCCAAAGCACACAGGCATAGGGAATTGGTCCTGGATATTGCAGATGTGAACCTGTGAAACCCAGCACGCAAAAACACAGGGTCAGATTTGACCCATAACTATTGGCCTGTGTCCGTGTAGTAAATGAAAGGATGGGGAGATGGTCTCCTCCCACATCATGTCATTAAGATGTTTGTCCTGGAAGAAGGATTTACTACTGCCCTCACCTGTCACGTAGAAGGTCACTACCAGTACTAGCACTTTGTCTTTTGGTGGTTATAGGAGCTCTGGGTCCATTATCAGCCAAGAGGGCTGGGGCAGGCTTTGCATTTGACTTCCCTTTGGAGAGGAAAAAATAAGGCAATTGTCAGAGAGATTTATGGGAGGCTAATGAGCTGGGTGGGTGACTTAGTCTTAAAAAAAGCAGCCTACGTTGACAGGAATTAAGTCTCTCTCCCTTGCTAATGAAAAATATTAATGGGAAGAGTTGGGCAACAGTTTATCAAAGATATTTTTTTTATATTCTGAAAAGGGTGGAGAGGCCAGAGGAAAAAATTGTACCAAGGAAGGGATCCGGGAACTAGCAAGTTCTCCGTTGGCTGGAATTTAGATTTCCTTCCTGCCAATCTAGCTTGTTCTGCTGTGAAGTTCATGCCTAACTTCTTGCCTGGGCCTTGCACGCAGGTTCAGACCTTCTGGGTTACCCAAACTGGCTTATGGGAAGTTGAAAACAAAATCTCACACAGAGAAGGCAGCTAGCTTAAGAAAGTTGGCCTACTGTTGGAAGCATGGATGTAAAATTGGGGAAGAAATGACAGACAGAAAGAGTGGGTGTGTTTTTCTGTCCTCTCCCTTCATGAATTAAACCTAGTTGGGGGTCTTCAGCCCCCATTTTCTGTGTGTTTTTCCCGCTTTCATAGAGCAAGATCTGCATAACCGTTGATTAACAGTTGTGGTCATGGAGAGGGCTTCAGTAGCTGGGAGGAAAATGAATCTCAAGGCTGAATGTGGTTTGGGGGTGTCAGATGGCTCAACCCCCCCTCCCCAGAATGAGGGAACAAGATGAGGGTCTGAGGTTTTTGTAATTGTTCTGAAGGGAGTTGAAATTCCTCCACACCCGGGAGGAGCAATGGAGCAAAACGAAACATTGGCTCTAGATGCCTATCTGCTCAATTCACATTAGACAAAATGTTCCTGCTAATTTACACCATGGATAAAGAGAACAGTAGTAGCTGGGGGAGGGAGTTGTGGAGAGAGGAAACTGGAGTCCATCATATCTGATGGAAAAAATTGATCAAAGGACATTTTCACCCGGCTGGCTGTTAACATAATTGATTTTGCATGGTTGATTTTGACAGCGCCATGATGCTTAAGGTAGATCCTGGCATCAAATAGGCAAAATGAAACCCAGTTCTCTTATTCTTAAAACAACCTCCTTTGCCCCCCCCCCCTTTTTGTTTTGTTTGTGAATGTTGATTCAAATCCTGTGTGACACAGATACACACACAAAAAAACTATTGTGGGATGCACTCAATAGTTGCACTGATGACTGCTGAACTAATCAAATTGTTTTGCGCAAGCTATCTTTATCATTAGGGCTATGTCTTCTTTATGAAATGTGTCCTTCTTTTAGGCAGAGAGAGAACAAGTCTGAAAATATGAAGGGTCCGTGAAAATCATTGCTTCATTTGCTTACTAGATAAATTGCCTTTCCTGGTTCAACATTTTCAATCTCATGCTAAACGCTACCATTTCTGAGATTCCCAATTCTTGGCGCCTCAACCTGAGATTAACCATAATTTCTGGAGACTAGATATATATATATTTGTGAGGTCTCAGGGTGGGTGAATGAGAGATACCAGCAGCTTACATTTTTTATCAGTGAGATAATACTTCTATTTTAAATAAGTCCAGCAAGTCTGGAAGTCTGGTGAGATGTCCTCAGGGTGGTATCTGGTACATGCTTTTCGACATGTGTTATCTGTTAAACAGTAGCTTGTTTTCTGATGATAGTAAAGGGTTCTTCTCCCCCCCCCCCATTCCTTTCACTGGCATTCTCTGTGGATAAATGTTGTCTTCAAGGTACAGAAAAAACCCCCCTCTTCTTCACCAAACGATTAATGCTTTGTATTCCACATTTGGTGTTTGCTGTCTGGCATCCTACAAAGCTTGCTTCAAGCCTGAGGAGATACTTGCAATGCTGGAAACTTGAAAAGTAAACAAGTAGACTGCCCCCCCCCCCAAGAATTGTCCTCTAGTTGTCCTTTTTAATATGAGAATTATGAACAATAGAGTCTGCTGCATAACTGAGTCTAGATGGACTTGTGGTCCATGCTGAACATCTTCTGTCCTTCTGATTTCTTGAAAGCCTTCTATGACTGCATTCATCCATCCCTCTAAGCTGCAGGAGGGTAAGTAGTGAAGCCTATTGGGTTGGTATTTGGATGATCGGATCCGGAACAGGTCTTGAAGCTGTTGGTTGCTTATTTTGAAACATGATAGATCATCTGCATTCTCCTCCTCTCTCTGTCCTCAGAGGCCGGAATAAAAGCCCCATTGGACCTGGGAAATATGGCTATGGAAAAGTTCCTTATATCCTCCCGCTGCAGACGGACACGGGACAATCGACACACAAACCCCGCAAGCAACGTCAGTCCATGCAGCCTGCACCAAACCAACAAGGGACTGGTGGCATCTCCACTTTTGCCCATCTGGATAGCCCTTCCCATCATCATCCTGGAGGAACCTACCAAGGTGACCACCAATCTTCTCCAGCCAGGTCTCAGGTTGCGAGCAGCTCTTTCTATCCACAACCGGGGTCCCATTTTCAATCCTTCCCAGCAGCATCTCGAAGTTTGTTCCAGGGCACAGAACGGGGCAGGCATCTCCCTGGAGCGTCTTATCCACCCGTCCAAGGGCAGATGTCTGCTCAGCCGGCCGCTGCAATTGTGTGCACCGGGGCCTACAAGCAGTACAGACTCTGCAATACGAACGTAAGTTTGTCCTTTGTGCTCTGGCCTTTCCACACCTTCTTCCACAAATTCTTGTTTTGAGCTTAGGAGTTTTGCCGAGAAGAAAGGAAGTACACTGGACCTCTTGGGGGATCTGAATTGGATTGGCTTGAATTGAATACTTTATTTGGCCAAGTGTGATGAAAGACACAAGGATGTACATGCAAAGCAACAGAGAGAATAACAAGAATACAGGTAGACTTTGACTTACGACTACAAATTTTGAGCCCAAAATTTCTGTTGCTAAGCTAGACAGTTGTTAAGTGAGTTTTGCCCTGTTTTATTGTTAAGCAAATCACTGCCGTTTTTAAGTTAGTAACAGGGTTGTTAAATGAATTTGGCTTCCCCATTGACTTTGCTGGTCAAAAGATCCTAAAAGGACCCCACTTGACCCCAGGATACTGCAGTCGTCATCAATATTAAGCAGTTGCCAAGTATCTGAATTTTGATCACATGACCACAGAAATGCTGCAGCGGTTGTAAGTGTGAAAAAAGGTCATAAGTCACTTTTTTCAGTGTCAATGTGTTGAATTCACTAAATGAATTGTTTAAGTCAAGGACTAACTGTACCAATAAAAGGAGGAAGTAAAGACGATAATAGTAATAAGAAATAGGAATAATACTACAGCTATACTACATGGGTAAATTTGCATAGACCTTAGTACTATGAGATTAGGTGTTCAGCAGAATGATAGCAAGAGGGAAAAACTGTCCCTGTGTCTAATTGTCTTGGCATATGATCAGTGGTGGGATTCAGTCGGTTTGCATCACTTCGGCAGAACCAGTAGCTAATTTTTTGTTGCCCAGGCCCAGAATGGACTTCCGGAAGTGGCATCCACGCAGAGAACTGGTTGTTCGCATATTTGAATCCCACCACTGCATACGTTGCTCTATAGCCGTGGTGGTGAACCTATGGCACGCGTGCCACAGGTGGCATGCAGAGCCCTCTCTGTGGGCACGCACGCCATCACCCCAGTCCTAGACCTTCAGCTGGGTTTTATAAAACCTTTTTGCTTTAGGCCTCCACCGCCCTGTGCAAAAAAAAAAAAAAAGGTTCAATCAGTCAATTTCAACTTCTCGCGGGAAAAAAAAAGATCTTGCAAAGTTGGAATTGATTGATTGAACTTTTTAGTCCCACCCAGTCTGCCGTTACCACCGCAGCCACGCCTACCCAATGGGCCACACCCACCCAATGGGCCACACCTACCCAATGGGCCACGCCCAATTGGCACCCGATGATACATAAGTGGGATTTTGGTTGCAGTTTGGGCACTCGGTCTCTAAAAGGTTCGCCATCACTGCTGTATAGCACCATCCTGAGGGAAGGAGATGAAATAGTTTATGTCCAGATGTGAGGGATCTACAGATATCTTCTCAAACCTCCTTCTGACTTGCGCAATATACAGGTCTCCTATCTGAATATTTGTCCAGAGCATTACAAAGTTTCTCATGTTATTTTTTTTTATTATTATTTTTTCAAGTGAACACAGCTCCTTTCTGTCTCCACTTCCCCTGCACTCTTCTTCCTTATTAAAAACATCTTTAAGAAAATAGTTATGGGGCAACCCATCATGGTTTCAGCTGCTACCCAGTTGGGTGTCATGACCTCACTGTGCCCTAGATGAATAGTTTAAACACCAAATCATAAAAAGAGAGGGAGGTGGGCTTGCACCGGACCCTGGAAAATCTACTGTGTTTATCCACCTTCTGCATGATCTCCCAGAACATACATTTAGGCAGTAATTTAATTTATTAGCCAAAATATTTTAAGGCTCCTGCTAGCATGCAGAGAACACCATTTTTTTCTTTGATTTGGAACATTCTCTGTGGTTAATATAATTTATTGGGGGGGGGGGGGAAGAGCTCTCCTAATTGGAATTGTAGTGTTGGGTCACTTCCCCTTATGGATTCTGGTTGGGGCAGTTAATTAATAACAAATTAACTCAATCTGCTTTTCTCCATTAGGTCATTTCCTTGCGGTTATAGTTTTAATGTTTTTTTCATGTAGAGCAGAACTCATTTTTCATGAGTGACATGTTGGATCATATACAGTTTCAGCTTAGACGGTTTGGTCTACATGCTTCTGAAAACACATTTAAAGATCAGGGCTCTCTGGAAGGGTGATTTTTTTTTAAATTAAGATTAATCGTCCATTGTTTTAGAAACACTTGAAGTTATATTAGGCACAGGGCAAGAACTGTCTGATCAGTCACCATTTGATAAATAAGACTCAGTGGGATGCTCAGCTGGAAGGGGATGGAATAATTAAAGCAAATAAAAGCATTTAGAAAGAGCTGCAAAAATAGACGGGAATGTTGTTGCTTGCCAGATGTGAAGATGTGTCCCTGCAGGGAAAAAATTCATCATGGTACATACAAGGCTGGGTTGCTGATTGAGTTCCAGAACAATGTACAATGTGTGTAGGATGGTTCATTCATTTCCTTGCTAGCTAAGAAACAGTAGTTTTGAGAACCCAAATAGACCCAAACTGGGTCTATAGACCCAAACTGGAACCAATGAAATGCAATTAGACATGAGCTTGTAGAACCTGTTGGCCATGGGAAGCATGGGAAGATGAGCTAATTCTACATTACATTAACAGAATCTTTCAAGTCTGAAAGTACTCCCCCCACTCTTATAGTCGAGAAACTAGGGAGGGTCCCTTCTGAAATGTTTGCTGCATCCCGATTCCTTCTGCTGGCTCAGCAGCCTCTTATCTTCCCTTTCCTGTGTTCTTCCTCTGTCTCCCAAGGTCATTCACACATACCATTATAGCATTCTTCTGCTTGTGCCTCAGCCCAACTAAATTTGTGAAATGATATATAGACGTCTTGAGTTATAACTATGACCTCCCTGCAACCATCTAACCGCAGTGTTTCTCAACCTTGACAATTTTAAGGCATATGGACTTCAACTCCCAGAATTCCACAGCCAGCAATGCTGGCTGTGGAATTCTGGGAGTTGAAGTCCACATGCCTTAAAATTGTCAAGGTTGAGAAACACTGATCTAACGTCTATTGTATTGACTCATTCCAGTTCTGAATTCCATGGGTGAGCATGATGCTATGTAGAGGCTCTCTTTTCTTGATGATGGCAGGATTTAAGAGGGCCAGAACATGAGGGAAACTAACCAACATCACTTTCCTTCCCCTCCAAAACAATGCAACATTTATTTCGCGTTCTTGGAATTGTCGACAGAACCACACAGCTCATCCAGGAATATTATCTGAAATGTTGGGGGGGGGTGTCTAAGAATGGATGGATTGAGGTAGAACCAAGCTATTGCGATAGCTAACTTTCGGGAATGTCTTTTCCTGAGATGGAGATAGGCCATCAAAATGGAGGAGGGGGAAGGAATCTCTTTTCTAACAGCTGTGTGCTTCCTCCTTCTTCTGTCTTCTGAAATGAGAATTAAAATCAAAGAAACTGTTCTTTTAAAAACACAACGGAGTAGGGCTAGATCAGATCCCACCCTCTGTAGGTCTCTTCAAACCATCCCACTGAATACCCAGACATTGACTTTACCCCCATTTTTTTCTCTTCTGCCTTGGCTTTTCATGCTACACTTCTGATTTCTCTGAAATATTTTCCCGTCCACCTGTAAAGTTCATGACCTTCTCCAATATTTATAGCAGGGCCTGGATCTTCTGTGCCCCTTGTTTGGCTGATGTGGACCTCCTTGGTTTTTTTTCCCAATTATTTCTCAATCAAGCCAGCCCTTCCATCTGTGAATTCTCTCAACAGCCTATATGTTTTGTGGGTTCACTGCAAACAATATGGACCCTTGGGAGGAGCTTTATGGACCCTGCCCCTCTTCCCATTTAGAGTGAAGGGGTTTGATTTCTTGGCCAGATCTTCATCTCAGCATCTCAAGTTTCCTCTTTCAGCCCTTTGGCCCAGCCAGGAGTTTCCAATTACAAATAATTGACTTTGTAAATGGCTTTAATCCATGTTCTATTTAAGCATGGACATTCAAGCCAGATTTAAGCCATACGTTTTGGGATAGAGAGCTTTGTCTTTCTTTTCTTTGCTTAATTAGCCTTTTTTCTGCCCCTTTTTGTCCTCCTCACATTCAATTTAATAACTATAATATACCTTACGTTTTCCCTCACTGTATAATCACCAGGTCTCCTTTTTTTTCCTTTTAATTTTTTCTGTGGCTCTTGAGATTTTCCATATTTCATGATTAAAAACAATTAAACTAACAACAACAACAACAACAACAACACTTTCCCCTCCAAATTAGCTTGGAACCAAAAGAGGCAAAAAAAGGCTATCATACGGAAAACAACAATTGCAGATGCTCTGTTATATCAAGACTTAACATGATTTTAAGTTTTTATTCCAGGAGATGAGGGCCCTGGTCCTCCTAAATTCCAAATAATGTGGTTAATGTGTCTTTCCCACAACTTGTTTTACAGGCCTGCCTTGAGAACAGAAACATCAGAGAGGTGCAATGTGCGTCGTACAACAACAAGCCATTTATGGGCCGTTTCTATGAGTGGGAGCCATTTGCTGAAGGTAAGAAGGCACGTCTGCGGCTTGGTCGAAAACGTGCATCCACCCTCCTTCCCTTTTTGTGATGTTGTTCAGTGTAGAGGGTAGCGGTGGATGGGAATATTTAAATATTTCATCTCCCATCTTATTCTCTACCAATCCTCATGGAAACTGAAATGAGGACCTTCTTGCAAATGGGCCTTATCTGTCATGGTTGAACCTGGTTATTCTTGGCCCCCATTTTGTGAATGCCCAAATGGCATAGGGTTGTTTGAATAACAGAAGAACAGAGTTGGAAGGGATTTTGGAGGTCTTTTAGTCCAACCCCCTGATTAAGCAGGAGACCCTACATGGCTGTCCAATCTCTTCTTAAAAACCTCCAGTGACGAAGCATCCACAACTCCTGAAGGCAAGTTGTTCCATTGGTTGATTGTCCTCACTGTCAGGAAATTTCTTCTTAGTTCTAGGTTGCTTCCCTCCTTGATTAGTTCCCATCCACTGCTTCTTGCCTTCTGGTGCTTTGGAGAGTAGTTTGACCCCCTCTTCTTTGTGGCAGCCTCTCCAATATTGGAACTTTGCTATCATGTCACCCCTACTCCTTCTCTTCATTAGACTTGGCATACCCAGTTCCCTCAACTGTTCATCATTTGTTTCAGCCTCTAGAGCCCTAATCATCTTTGTTGCAGGTGATTGTGGTGAGAAAGGGCAAACCTGCTCTTTGATGTGACTGTGGGATAGGAGGAGGAGGAAATTAAGGACCAAGCATGAGAAACTGTCAAACCCCCACCTCCACCCAGCCTCTGAGGACACCTTGTAGAATCATTTTCATAGCATTTCCTACAGGAACTGAGCAGAGCTTTGCTTCGAAAGCTCGTGAAAATGTCCTAAGTTGAGGACTACCTATAAAAGCATTCCTTCTGTCTGCTTTGGCATTTGGGGAATTCCATTGCAAGCCGGGTGATTTCCCATTGTCGGGAGCTGATCTAATTATTAATAAATAATAATATGCATTTCTGGATGAAAGGGTGATATGGAACTGCGGCATTTAATCAGAAAGAGAATGAAGAACTGTGTGTAGGTAAGAAGCAGTCAGAAAAATATCTTTGGAGCTTTCTTTTTTTAAAAAAACCCATAAATTGGGTCATTTTTTAATTTATAGGTGAAATAGATCCAGCTCAGCACAAAATGTAGAGCTACCACCCCAGTCGGCGTTTATTCCCAGAGCTGTCATTTTGAATATGTGCCCTGTATGCACTAACATAACATGGAAATGGATTTTAAAGCCATCTAATTTACTTAACCAGAACAGTTTCATTTTTTTCCTATCCTCTTTCCTAGTTTTTCTTGGAATTTGATGATGAACAAGGCATTTCAGCAAAAGAAATAAGGGAACCCATTCAGAAAGTTTAATCAAAAGGTAGATTCAAAACTGTTTCCCTTTCACCATTTCATACGGGCCATTTCAGTGTTATTCCCAGTGCTATAAATTGAAATAATGTCATAAATAATGTTGAAGTCCAGTTATGCCATGCCTTCAGAAATTATGGGCCTACAAGCTCTTATATTCCAAATATTGTCAACAACTATGAAACAGAAGAAGACAACCTAAGACTCCTTTGGTGGGTTCCTGAAGGACTGCCAAAAGTTTATTTTATATTGCAATTTTACTGAGATAGAAGAGAAGAATGTTAAATACAATGAAAAACAATCCCATTAGCCATATTTATTTCTCATTAAATTTATCCAGTTGAAATTCTAACTTGACTTCCCCCATTACGTTTTGAATTGTGGTTCCTCAGCAAAAACCTAAATGCAATTCTTGGATCAAGGAAAATTGAGGGAAATTTTTGACAGGCATTCAAGCATACAAGTTTGAGTTATTTTATTGCTCTCCAAACCAAGAACGGTTCTGAACCTCAATATATTCATGGGGAACCCTATGTAGTAGCAAGGATAAAGGAATGAAGGAGAGGGAACCCATACAGCTTAAGGACTTTTAAACAACAAATTGGGGTCACGTCAACACGCAAATGTGGCCTTAGGATATTGTGAATACCTTATTTCCATCATAAGGATGTTTACCACATCAGACATCTCCTGAACTGTGTACTGAATTTGACAAATATGGAGGCAATAGTAGAGTCAAATTTCATTTCTTCATTTTTTTGGGTCAGCTGAGGTTCTTAAGAATCTGGCTTGGTGGATCACCTTCTAAGCTCATGTAACTGAATTAAACCAAGGAATAAGCTCTCTGGCTTTGCTTATCTCACAGGGGAGAGGAAGTTGCTTGAGTCTACGAGAATAGCAAACAAGAATTGGCTGAGATCAGCGATGTCAGGTTGGTGCATTCTGGATGAAGAGAGGTCCCACAGAAGAACGTCAAGATCTGTTTTTTCTTGTTCCAGAACATAGGATAAGGAAGAATGGACTTAAATTACAGAGAGGCAGATTCCCACTGGGTGTTAGAGAAAAAAAATATCCCAATATTAAGAGCAGCTTGACAGAGAAATGGTGGACTCTTCTTCATGGAAGTCATCCAGCAGAAACTGGACAATCCTTTGTCCAAGAAGGTTTATTTGCTATTCCTGCATCAAGCAGGCATGACTTTGCACTTAAGAGTCTACATGAGCGAGTTTCAGATTCCACAAAAGCTTATTGCAACATGTTTGGGTGTCGATTTTTCGGCCTCCTTCATGCTTTCACTGCACACACATTTCTTCTGTCAACACTTCCGATAATGGCACCAACAAAAGGAACAGAGCTATATTTCGCGATGTCCCTGAGCTTCAAAAGAAGGTCCTGAGAAATGTCACCTAAAGTACCTTAAGCGTCGGTGATCCCAAGGGTTCAACCACCTGTCAACACGATGGCTGCCTTTCTCAGCACAAGAGCCCCTCTTTCTTCTGTCATGGTTCTGACAGACAGAGACAAATAAAGCAGATCTCTGAGGCTTGGAAATTCCTCAAAGAACATGTTTATTCATTACAGAGTATTGGCACGATCAAAAGTGAAACTAAGTCTGAATTTCCCACTAAAAATTACCCAGTTCCAAAGTATAATGTCCCACCCACAAAACTGTGCCATCACTATGTTCCCCAATACATTCATTTGGCGGGCTTTCTTATACACGCCCAGTCCCTGATCACGGGAGCAGCAGATGACCTTGGTTCCCACGGGACAGAAGATTATTTTGACTAGCGAAGCACCTGGACATGCCCCCTCCCTCCGTCCTATGTGGCAACCTAGAATGAGAAGAAAAAATGGCTGCAGCCATGCTCATTGTAGAGTTGACATCTTCTCTTGTGAGAGTCGTTGGAAGGAAACCTGGCTGTCTGAACATGGGAGTGATTGTAGCCACAAAGGTAGACAGCCCTGCTTTAGTGTAGTTAATTATCATTAACCTCCCAAAGTGATTTATACGTCTGTGTAAATGGAGGGATGAAACTTCCAAAGGTGCCATGAAGCAAGCATGAAAGAAGCAAAGTCTGATTTCATGTTTGTATGAAATTAATTGAATGCACTCCTTGCTTTCTCCGTTTCTTGGTAATGTATGTAGCTTGTAAGCAAATCCAGAGACAACTAAGACATTAGTGGATGAAGTCCTTCTGGTGAGAAATCTGTGGGTTGAGAAAAGTTGACTGAAGAACTGTGATCTTCGTTTGCAATTTGTACTAAGACCCTGAATGAAATCCTCCATAGATTTCTGTGAGTATGCTAGCAGAAGGACCCAGAAGAGACAAGGAGAATTCCTTTGGATGAAGGCAATCAGCTCAACAGGCTTATGGATATGAGCATCCAGGAAAAGTGAACGTCAAATGATTTAAACATGAAGATGATCTGGAATTGTGCTTTCTCCACATCTGGGATCTTGTGCAGAGCAGTCGAGATTTAAGAAGGTTCCCTCAATCTCCTCTTTTTGTTCTTTGGCAGCCAAAAAGTTTTTTTACTTTTCTTTGTATTTTGTATTTTATATATTAAATAATAGAAACAGTATAAATGAAAAAAAATCACATAAAATATGTTCCATCTGAAGTGAATCTCAGTCAAAATCTATAGATTAACTTGAGCAAATAATTTACTTTATGAAAACCTTAGAGATGTTAAGCAGGACAAGGCTGTGTCCCATTTCAGTCTACCAAAGTCTATTTTGAATACATCTCACAACATGGGCGAAATGCTGGGCTTTTCATAAACTTTTCTAAGAAATGTTTAAATAAAAGAACCTTCCACATTCTTGTTTATTCAGCTCTCTTTGTAGTATGGACTTAATACTGATTTTTTATGAGTTCTCCACCTCTCCATCCCTCAGCTTGCTGGTCTTTAAAAAAAGGCAGGCTTTTTCATCCTGTAAACAAACCTTGGTTAATCTTCCCTTTTGGAAAATGAGTTTTTGTTTCCTGCTATTTTAATTTAGAGGTGAACTCTCAACCTTCCATAATCTCAACCAAAGGAAAATTATCTGGATTTCAGTAGAAGCCAGAACTGAAAAAAAAATAAAAATGCTTGCAGGTCAATGCCAATGAATACCACATTCAGGATGGAGGAAATTTCACACAACTACAACTGAGGAGATGAAGCTGCTGGCTAAATAGTTTGAGGAGCTTATGATAAAACATGGGTTTTTGTTACAGCAATCGGATTGAGGCGAATGGGAGAAAAACAAGCGGTTTTCTTCCCCAAAGACATTAACATATGTATGAAAAGTCCATTAATAGCTCCCTGTGAAAAGATGTGTCGCAACAAAGTGAGGTTAAGGGACAAGGGATCACCTGCTCCTAAGATGTTATTTAACTCAGCTGCCAAGATTTACTGGCGTACCTCTGTAGGCGATCAAATTGCTTAATAAAAATAAAGACAAAGAACTGGCTTTTAAGACTGCGTTGGTCCGTTGGAGGCCATTGGAAATGGCTTTTTGAGAGCCTCCTGCTTCAAAGTCCAGCAAAACCCCAGCAAAGTTGTTGTCCTACTGTTTTCTCTCCTGGATTGTCAGAAACGAATTTCCTCACTTAAACTTCTAACATGGG